AAGTTTTTTATTGGATCAACAAACCTTCTGGAGAATAAGGATTTCACGATTATGAGCATTTTCAAGGAACTTGGAGGGTAAACAACAATCAGAAATCAATTCAAGTTTGGTTAAGTTGCGAAAAGTTGTTGTAGTCCATGCAGTGAATCCGAGTCAATAATCTAGAAAGACAAGCACAAAGAAAATGTAAGATTACTACCATCAACACTACACGTATACACAATGAGCTGAAAAGGGATCGTCGAACCCATACCTTTGTACACTGTGATAAATTTAATTTTAGGAACCTAACATTACAGAGCCCATAAAAAAATCCCACTACTGATCGAGACTAAAGAAAACTGTCACGTGGGTTGATACTAATACAGTCGATTTCGATATCCGCTTCAATTAAGGAGGTTAGCGCCCTACATTTGATATGCTGATTTGCGTAGTCAAGCAACTCGAGATAAACAAGGGCGGGGGTGTTTATCTCCACCTTGTTGTAGTCTTGATTTTCGGATTCTTTATCGAAATGATAACTGACATCGAGCATTTTGATTGTGGGTGAGGATATTTTACAAGAACAATAATCGATGCACAATTGCAGTAGCAACTCCTCAAGCACCGGGCACCCCGAAATAAGGTGCGAAAGGGAGTCATCACCCTCATATTTAACATGTATTAAATGAAGCCTTTTGAGGTGAGGCAAAAAGACGATACTGCCCCTATCGGGGATGAGACCGCAGTGGTCGAGCCTCAAATCAATTAGGGTTTTGCAGGTGAAGAGGCATCGAGGCGAATCGAGATGAACAGTTAGATAAATATCGATGTTCTGCACACTGCGCTCAACGGCAAAGGTAATCCATGTCTCGATTTGATGATAGTTGCGCTTAGTGTCATCGAAGAGAGAGAAAGTATTGATGTTTTGCAATTTACGGAGAAGTAAAACCCTAGTTATGGTATCTGAATTCTCGTAGTTAAAAAATAAATTGGGGACGTAAGAACAGAGATACCTCCATTTCTTCTGGATAGAATGCTTGTTGCCGGGAGAAAAGAGAGAATGTGACAGAGGACTGAGTCTGGCAAATCGCTGAGTCGATCGATTGGGAGCGCGTTTGGCTTCTTGCTGTTGTGTTGTTTTATTATTTCCATAACAAGATGCCGATAATCGACAGTGCTATTTACACCGCGAAGGGGTTTTGACGAAGCAAAAGATGTTTCTGTTTTTAGCAAAACAATTACAGTTTTGACCGCTCAAAATTGAATTGATTTCACATTTGACCCCTCATGTTAATCAAAAATATATTTGGTCCTCATGTTTCAAAAAATGCAACACGTTTAGTCATTTTCGTCAATTTTTCGTTAAAACAAACGCAATCAAACGTGTGCTCATTATTGACTTAACTGATGGACTAACGGTAATTAAGTTTTCGAGCTAAGGATAGATTTATTTGGAACTTACTCCGAATACTGGAAGTTTACAATGAAATCTTGCTATCAAATCATTCTTTGAAGCGACTCTAAGCCTCGTGCTCGAGCGGGCCTAGAAGGAGCATTGAGCTTTGGGATTTCCAAGGACTTTTGGAAATCGGTTTAATTCTTGCAAATCCAACCGAAAGTTAAGATTTTTATTTGGAGGGCGATATCTGATATTCTCCCAACTGATGCAGCTCTTTTCCAGAGACGTGTTACTCTCAATCCCTTTTGCCGGTGTTGTATTTCCCAATAATTGAAACTTTTGTGCATGTAATTCTGAACTGTCGGGCCATGGCATGTATTTGGAAGTCCGCTTCTTTTGGTCTTCCTCTCGGGTCTGAGTTCCCCTTTCGTAGTTGTTGGAAAATTGAGTGTAAGAGCAACTCCAATGGGAAAATTAAATGGAGTATTAAATGCTAAAACTACCATTTTGATACCCAAAACTCAAAATTTCTTCTCCAATGGAGGCATTAAAGGGATAGTTTTTTTGATACTTCATCTCCTAAAGTGCAAAGATGCACAAAAAAAAAGAAAATATCAAACATACTTAAAAAATAGTAACCGCAATTTCAACGTGAACAAAAATATTTTTTTTAACAAAATCCTATGGAATAGGGACCAAGTACATCTATTAATTCATGTTTAATACATTTTTTAAAATAAAATAATTTATTTGATGGCCTATACGGGTTGGAGCATATAAGTTTTTTAGAAGTACCAAAATATTATTTCAAGTATCAAATGAGGATTAGATATTCCATTTTAATACCTATCATTGGAGTTGCTCTAAGTTCAATTTAATAAAAATATTTAAGTGAGTTCCGTTTATCAAAAAATGGAAATTGAATATAAATTCATAATCTACGTTTCGGGTAGATGAATTTAATGTATTTAATTATTTTAATTTAATTAGAGTTAGAGAAAATATTATTATTTTGTTTTTTTGTTTTTTTGTTTTTTTTTTGTTTGATTTATTGACAATGAATGTAATTGTATTACTGTCGTTGACAATAAAATAACTGTAAACACCATAATATTATTATTATTTGTTGGGTTCTTTGTTTTGTGTGAGTTATTGACAGAGTAACGTAATAATATTATTGTCTAGTGATGTAATATTACTGTAAACACAATAATATTACTGTGGTTGACGGTAATATTACTGTTGTTACACTAATATTACTGTCAACCACATCAATATTAATTCTTTTGGCTTTTTATTATGTTTACTTTTGTTGAACGGTCAACATATTAATTTTATTAACACAATAATTATGACTTATGTTGTGTTTATATTAATGTGTTAGAGATTAATATAGCAATATTACTGTGTTAAACCGTAGTATAATTAATGTTATTGTGTTTAACACTAATATAGTTAATATTAATGTCAACCACAACAATATTGTTGTTTAACCGAGGGAAAAATGTTAAAGAAAAAAAATCAGAAGAAAAAAAAAACAAATCGAAAAGTCAACGCCAGAAACCGGAGGAAGAAAAACAAAAATTCAACGGGGGCGACGGACGAAATGGTACTCAAAATTGTGTTTTGGGTCAAAATTGAATAATTTGTATAATTTGGGGTTAAATGAGGTTAAATTAAATGAAAGGATGAAATTGAAGCATATTATAATGGAGTAAACTGCAAAAAGTACCCCTGTGTAATCTCTAAATAGCAAAAACCTCCCTATGATAAATAAACTAGCAAAAAAACCCCTGTGAAATTATTTAAATAGCACACTCGGCCCATTTATTATTTGAGTGTTGACTTCATATAAAAAGACACAAATACCCACGGAATTTTGCAATTAATAAATTCTTATATTATTTAAATATTTTAATTACTTTATTTTTGTTAAATCTTAATTATAAAGGTACAATGAGGTCTTTAATTTATTTTTGTTTTTATTATCACATAGTTTTTGTATATATTTTAACTTATCGCTACATCAAAAGAAAATTTAAATTCCGATATTATATATTTAAAAAAATCTATACTTAATTTGATTAACAAATTTTTAATAATTTTTAAATTTAATTATTTACTATTTTTTAACAATATTTTAATTTCTAAACAATCAAATTAAAAGGAAAATATATATACATATAATATACATACATATAAATACATTTTTAGGGGCAATTTCGTCATTTCACGTCAAAAAACCTACTTCCTGTCGCGCAACCCGCGAGTGAGCCACACTTGCACCTAAGTCAACCAGGGGGGTTTTGCCTTTGACTAAATTTCACAGGGGGGTTTTTGCTAGTTTATTTATCACAGGGGGGTTTTAGCGATTACACATGGGTACTTTTTGCAGTTTACTCTATTATAATGTGAGTGACTGTTTTAGTCTTTTACAAACATCTGGACAATGTGTGGACTTTTTTGTAAATAAAAATTATCTGAACCCCATAATGAATAAACACTCATTGATGGACTTATTTATAAAGTGCCCTTTTTTAAAACTTAATTTTTTAATATCTTACATCACAATTTACAATTAATTTAATAAGTCTTCATTAATAATGACCCAATTGTCATTTTTTTTATATGACCCAACTGTCATTTGTTTTTTCAAATTTTGTCTTGAATCTTGCTCTAATTTAATTTAACATAGTATAGACGGGAGAATTACACCTTTGGTCTCTTATATCTGGCCTGATCTCATTTTTGGTCCTCATTGTTCAAGAGTAAAAAAGTTCACCTCAAAGGTTCAATTTTAAACACTTTTGGTCCCCACCGTTACATGCCCGTTAGCAAGTAACGGAAAACACTATTTTGGGGCCAAAATTGAAATTTTAAATTTTTTTGGGGCTGGAAAATAATTAGAGATTTATAAATACTATTTATAATTAAATTTTTAATAGTAAAAAAATAAATTAACTAAACAAATTATTTTTAGTTATACTTAATATTATTTTTAATTATACTACTTATAATTAAATTCTTAATAATAAAAAAGAAATAAAGTAAAGAAATTATTTTAAATTATACTAATTATAACTACAATTTTAATAATAAAAAAATTAACTAAACAAATTATTTTTAATTATATTTAATTTATTATAATTATACTACCTATAATCAAAATTTTAATGATAAATAATAAATTAACTAAAAAAATTCATTTATGCTTAATATAATTAAAAAAAATATTTATTAGTAGTATATTTTAAATTTCTAATTATTTTATAGCCCCAAAAGATTTAAAATTTCATTTTTGGCCCCAAAATAGTGTTTTCAGTTACTTGCAAACGGACATGTAACGGCTAGGACCAAATGTTTAAAATTGAACCTTGGAGGTGAACTTTGTTCAGTTTGAAACAACGGGGACCAAAAGTGGAATCAGGCCAAAATTGAGGGACCAAAAGTGTAATTCTCCCTAATATGGACATCATAAATAAATAAAATAGTGTTTTTAAAATCCATCCAAGAATATACCTTCTAATTGCCCTATACATACAAGAACAAGACACCAAGCAAGACCTTATATACATGCTGCAAAACAATCTTTCAACATTAATAGTAATCGGTATCGGTATCGATAAATAGAAACAAAAACTAAAGATAGATCATAGATGTAATAACTTAGAATCATTTTGCCACGCCTAAATAAACTGCACAAAGGAAAAGTTCACATGCCTCTGATTACGTAAAGGGAAAAGGAAGGAAAGAAAAAAAAAAGAACACTGCATCAACAAACCTTGGAAATAATAAGAATTTCAAGATATGATGAGCGTTTTCAAGGATCTTGGAGAGAGAACGAGAAGCAACAATTAATTCGAGTTTGGTTAAGTTACGGAAACTTTACCCTTCCAGGTAGAGAATACCGAGTCACAAATCTGGAATGTAGACAAGCAAAATATTACTAAAGAAATATACAACGAGCTCAATAAAAAAGGATCTAAAAACACACACACACACCTTTGTACGAGCCAATAAATCTAATTTTAGCCACTTGACGCCGTGGAGCGTATCAATAAATTCCAGCGCAGATCGAGAGTAGAGAAAATCCTTTCGTTCCCCCTTGGCGCCGCAAATATCGATATCTGCTTCGATTAAGGAGGTTAGCGCCCCACATTTGATATGTTGACCCGAGTAATCGACAAACTTGAGATAAACAAGGGCAGGTGTATTTATCTCGAGCATGTGGTAGTAGTTTTGATTGTCATATTCCGCATCATGAAAATGAAGATTGACGATGAGCCTTTTAATTGTGGGCGAAGATATTTGACAATGATAATAATCGACGTATAGATAGATTTCCAACTCCTTGAGCACCGGACAGCCGGAAAGAAGGTGCTGAAGGGATTCATTAGCTTCGTATTGAGCATATATAAGATGAAGCTTCTTCATCTTGAAAATTGTTGATGAATACTAAATTGGGGACGTAAGCCCAGACATACCTGCATCTTTGACCTAGAATGCTGGTTCTTACCGAGGATTTGGTCGGGAGGAGAAAGAGAATGTGAGTCAGTACTGAGTCGGGTAAATCGCTGAGCCGGTCAACTGTCTGTTCGCCATTCGAACGGTTATGGTGGCGTGCGATGTGCTCTTCTGTCGTCTCCATAAAACAAAAAAAGGGTTTTTGAGTTCCGACATCGGATAAGAACAAGAAACGGATAAGAGCACCACAAACCATCACCAAATCCCATATTTATCATCTAATCTAATTCAGGTGTTTTTAGTCTCCTAACCTAATCTAAATCTCTAAGTTACCATTATACCTAAAATATAGTGATTTAGTTTAGTCTCCGATCCTGGTCAAACTTTATATCACTATATTCCAAAATTCTATACATTCATCAATTTTTTTGGTGAAGAAATTTTCATCTCCCACCCACTCACTATTTTGCCATTTTTTTCCATCAAATCCTTTTTTTTTTCTATCAAATATAGAAGTGAAAATAAGATTTGGTGTAATTAACACCATTTTATAATTAGCATATAAAATTATTATATTAACTAATTTCATGTGATTACCAACTTATAAATATGCTTATAGTAAATATATTAGTGTTGATTAGTGAATTAGTTTTCAAATAAAGTTTTAACGAGGCCCCCGTTATCTGTTAAATAATTTTTTTGGCCAAGAAAAATGTGGTAATGTTTTTATGATTAATTTATCATGTAAGGGTTTTATGTAATAATTAATGAAATTATTGTTTATTTGTGGTTGTTTTATATGTATAATAATTTAAGTCGATTTTCATTCATGTTTCAATAAAATTTTGATATTTATCATAATTTTTAAATTATATATTTAATAAAATCATTATTTAAGATCAAATTCATAATAAATATTTTGGTTATAAAATAGACTAAATTTACAATCAACATTAAACTTATAAATTTGTAATATATTTGGTGAAATCCCATGGGAGATCAAACCAAATCTTATTCTCTATAAATAGTAAAATGGTGAAATATTAATATTTTATTAGTTGGTGTAAAATTTGATGAAATTGGTGGGAGACTAAATACACTATTTTGTCACTAAAAATATAGAAATTATAGAATGATGTGCTACCGATGAGAGATAACACCATTTTTTACCACAAAAAATAGGATTTGGTGAAAAATTGTGTTAAGAATGGGCGATGCTCTAAGAATGTAAACAAGGGCAGGGATATTTATTTGTTCATGTTGGGTGTTTGGACCATATGTTTGTTTGTTTGTTGTTCAAATTGTGGACCACAACTTATCATATTCATCTATTTTATGTTTGTCAACTAGGATATTTAATTTGTATAAGCACATTAATAACTTATCAAATCTGCAACTTGCTTTATAGAACTGTTTTTAGAGTTTTTGTTCTTATTTTAATTTGTGCAATTCGACTTCTTGCAGATTCTAATAGTGATTATTTCAGTATTAGAATGCACCATTCAAAGAATTTTGTGAACTGGTTGCAGATATTATGTCGAGTAAACTGCAAAAACTATCCCTGTGTAATCTCGAAATAGCAAAAACCCCCATGTGATAAATAAACTAGCAAAAACCTCCCCTGTGAAATTATTTAAATAGCAAAAACCCCCCTATGGAACTATTTGAGGGTTGACTTGATATAAAAAGACACAAATACCCCTGGAGTCTTGCAATTAATAAATTCTTATATTTTATAAATATTTTAATTATTTTATTTAAAAAATAATCAATTTAGTTGTTTTATATTTTTTTTAATTTCTAAACAAACAAATTAAAAAGAATAAATATACATATAATATGTATATATATAAATACATTTTGAGGGACAATTTTGTCATTTCAAGTCTAAAAAATCAGCTGGGGGGATTCTGCCTTTGACTAAATTTCACAAGGGGTTTTTTGCTAGTTTATTTATCACAGGGGGGTTTTCGCTATTTCGAGATAACACAGGGGTAGTATTTGCAGTTTACTCATATTATGTCGGTGGAAACATAAATTATTTTGATTATTGCACCGATGATGGGATTTATGTGATAGAGATGATTGAAATGGCTAAAGAATTAGGATTGATTTGTACAATTAGTTGTTTTTATAGTAGGAGTGGTGTGGTAAATAATTCCAATTCCGTGACTCTAATAAAGCATGAGATGGATGCAATGGTTTTAGTGAGAGTAACATAAAACTATATAGCTCGTGAAAGTAATGAAGTATTAAGGGAAAGTGAATATGTGTATTGTGAAAATGGTTCATTAGGTAAGCTAGTGAGGTATTTAGGTGATGATGATGATGATGATGATGATGATGTGTGTAATGATCAATTTGATGAGGGTGATGATGAAGAGCTAAATACACCAATTAATAAACTCTCCCGGCCTAATGTGTTGGTGATAATACAATTATAGTTGAAAAAACAAAGAAATAAAACTCAGGTTGAGGCGCGTATATCTCGCTCTCTTTAAGGAGATTCAAGCTCACTGCAGCAAGTAATTTTCATCGGTTCAGGAGTAATCTCTCGACTTGTCCGCTCCAGGATACAACAACCCTACAACATCGTATGACTCAAACGGACTCTGGACAAGTTGTTGAGCCCAAAGCTTCACCAAAAGAACACCTTCCTTTCCTTCAAATAGCAAAATTCTCTTTGTATGTGTATATGTGTGTATGGAGAAAAGTTTGTGTCTCACATAAAGGCTTTAGTACCTATTTATAGGACTAGATGACTCATTAAACTGCACAATTCATTACATGAAGAATGCACTAATATCACATCATAGGGAGGGATCATGGAAAGATGATCAAAAGTGCATTTCATAAAGCCATCACATGATTCGTTTTTTCCATTGAACTTGGTCGTAGGATCTCTATTTCACAGGTTGGATTTCCTCATACATGGCTTACGATTGTAAGGGCTTCAATCCCATCCCCTCGATGTGCTCCCGACCTTTTCTCTTGCTAAGGCCTTAGTTAATGGATCTGCAAGTTTATCATCATATTTATTATAATCAACGATGATAACACCATTTGTTAAATATGATCTCACAATACTATATTTTCTCCTTATAGGTCTGGATTTACCATTGTAATAACGATTTTGTACTCTACCGATTGCAGCGGTGCTATCACAATGAATTAATAGCCATTCTCAATCATACATGAATCAAACTTCTCATGCCATTGCTTAGGTGTCTGTTTTTATCCATATAAAGATTTAACCAATTTACACACTTTTTTTTCTTGGTCTACATCTTCAAAATCTTCGGGTATTTCCATATAAATTTCTTCATTTAGATTCCCATTTAAAAACGTTGTTTTACATCCATTTGATGAATTTGCAAATCAAAAATCGCAAAAATAGTGATTAAAAGCCTAATGGATGTAATTTTAGTTACCGGAGAATACGTATCGAAAAACTCTAGACCTTCTAGTTTCTTAAAGCGTTTAGCAACTAATCTAGCCTTAAATTTATCGATAGAACCGTCCGGTTTTAGTTTTTTTTCCAAGAACCCATTTACACCCAATAGTTTTACAACCCTATGGTAAGTCAACTAATTTCCATGTTTTATTAGAAATTAGTGATTCCATTTCATCATTTACAGCCTCTTTCCAGAAAATAGCATCACGTGATGACAATGCTTCTTGTAAAGTATGAGGGTCATTTTCAACATTAAAAATATGATAATCAGGACCATCGTATTACCTTATAAGCCAATGACGAACCAATCAACGTGCGACCTTATCGCTACCCTTATTATCAGAAGGGTGAGATCAAACAATTAGTGAAAGAACTCTTGCAAGGGGGGCTGATCCGACCAAGCACCAGCCCGTTCTCCTCGCCAGTATTGTTGGTTAATAAAGCTGACGGGACGTGGCGTTTTTGTGTTGATTAGAGGGCACTAAATTTCATCACAATCAAAGATCGCTATCCAATTCCGGTTATTGACGAATTGCTAGATGAATTATATGGGGCAAAATTCTTCTCAAAATTGGATTTATGATCCAGATATCATCAAATTCGAGTTAAGTCGGAAGACATTCCAAAAACGGCACCTCGGACACATGAAGGGCATTATGAGTTTATGGTCATGCCGTTTGGGCTCACTAATGCACCCTCCACATTTCAGAGTTTGATGAACGATCTATTTCGACCATAACTACAAGATTTTATTTTGGTTTTCTTTGACGATATATTGATTTATTCCAAATCTTGGGCTGATCATCTTTCACATTTGCAGATTGCACTCAGAATTTTATCTACTAATCAATTATTTGCAAAGCAATCAAAATGTAGATTTGGCGTAACACAGGTCGATTACTTGCGATACATTATTTCAGAGAAATGAGTGGCTGTCGATCTAGCCTAGGTACAAGTTGTTCTCAATTGGCCTACACCAACGACAACCAAGGCACTCCGTGGATTCTTAGGTCTGGCGGGATATTATCGAAAATTTATCCGACACTTTGGAAGTATTGCTGCACCATTGACACAATTGCTAACAAATGAAGGCTTTCGATGGAGTCCAGAAGCGGCCAAGGCATTTAATCGGTTGAAGCAAGCCTTGACCTCACCGCCGATATTAAATCTTCCTGACTTCTCAAAGCCATTTGTTATAGAATGTGATGCAAGTGGACTTGGAATCGGTGCCATATTATCTCAAAATAATCGGCCAATTGCTTATTTCAATGAAGCTCTTAAAGGGTCAACACTCACATTGTCCACGTACGAGAAGGAGATGATTGCTATTGTTAAATCAGTCCGTAAGTGGCGATCTTACTTACTCGGCAAGCACTTCATCGTTCGAACAGACCAAAGAAGTCTCAAGTATTTGTTGGACCAGCGGATAACAACTCCAGCTCAAACACGTTGGTTGCCCAAAATTCTTGGATATGACTACGTCACTGAGTACAAAAAAGGCCAGGAAAATCAAGGTGCGGACTCTTTATCTCGTGTAGTTGAATTTACTTTTTTGGCAATTTCTTCACCAGTAGCAAATTGGTGGAATAAGTTACAAGATGAAGTTCAAAATGATCGATTTTATTCATTATTGGATGATCAAAACCAGACCCAACATAACACAAATTTATCATTAAAAGATGGTGTTTGGTTCAAGGAAAGTAAGATATTTCTT